CACTCTCAGGGAACATGTGGCAATGTCTGGGGACATTTCTGATTGTCATGACTGGTGCTGATGGGGGGGTGCTTCCATTATCCAATAGCTAGAGGCCAGGGATGCTGCTAAACCCCCTATAATGCACAAGACAGCCCCCACAACAAAGGATTATGCAGCCCAAAATGTCAATAGCGTCCAGGCTGAGAAACCCTGATCTACTTACTCTTCACCATCCAGGCTGGAAAAGCCACAGGTCACTGGCCTCCCTGCCATGACTCCCAGTTCCTCCTAATAGAGGTGGGCTTCTTTGATGTATCGTTAATCCAGTTCCTACAGGTGCACCTGGACACAGGATGCTGGAGAGGGGACCAGAGGGCCCATGACTGAGTCAGTGACTCTCTCCCTCAGAGGACTTGGCTCATGATCTGAATTCTAGTTCACGTGACATGCATGAAATGCATTCTGCTGCAGTCCAGTCCCTCAGGGTGACAAGCTTGCAGAGGGCATGGATAAGACAAAGGCTCCTCTTTATTATGTTATTATTTTTTTTCATTAAGTAATACTAAATAATATCACCTGATTGTAGTCAAGCATTCATTCAGTCAGCAAGGATTTATTGTGTGCCCAGTAAGTCCAGCCACTATGCTCTATGCTAGATGGATGTTACCTCTCTGAGGCTAGTGAATGTACATGCCTTCAGCAGGAGTTCACCAGATGGGGATGGAAGGGGTGGGTGCTTGTTAAAATGCAGGATCCTGGGCCTCCCTCCAGATGTTCTGATTTTGTAAGTCAGGATGCTGCCCAGGATTCTGTATTTTTAGCCAGAACTCAAGGTAATTCTGATGCAAGCCATCCATGGGATCACACTTTAAGAACAATTGGTAGAAATCATGAAATCCACCCAACCCAATCCCAGGTCTGAGAGTATGAAGACTTGAGCTCTAATGTGGTAATTTCTATATCCCTGAAAAAAAATCATTTAACTATTGTCTCAAGTTTCCCATTTTTAAATCAAAGGAGAGTAAGACCCTAATACTTATTCAGACACAGATGGAGAGAAGACAGAATGCTTTATGTAAGTAGAAGCAGGACACTTGCAAAGGAACAGAACCATAGAAGTTTGACTTCTCAAAAACGAATTTTTATGACATAGAACGAGCATTAGCCAAGTGCATTTGTACAGCGGTAGTTAGGAGAAAAGTCACCTGCTTATGTGAAAGGTGTGAACACTATCTGTTCCCTGAACCGACTTCAGCATGCAGTGATTCCTAGCTGATTAGGAAACAGTAATCCTCCCTAGTTATCAAGATAAACGGCTCCTCTGATTCCTTGCAGTTTTCTTTCAAATCCTTTCTCAGACCTACATCAGACCTGCTCTCCCTGTTATGTGACTTTTCAATGAACCACTTATTTTAGTGGCACATTAACCACCATCAGAGGTCCAAATCTAAACCTTGTTCCAAGCACAACTCTTTCAAACTGTTAGAAACATCTTAACACTTATCCATGTGTAATACAAGGAAGTTATCTCACTATGTGGGCAAGATATGTATAAAACATAGTCAATCACTTTGGGCCCAGTTGCTCTACTCTAAATTGCTTTCTAATGGTAGAAGAAATCTGCATAAAGAACCTCATGATAACAATTACATAATAGTTTAAACTTAATGTTTCACTATCACTGGAAGGAAAGAGTATGGATTAAAGGCCAGAATACCTCATAAAATGCACCAGTTTCCCTTAAGATAATCAAAAATACATCTTTTTCGACTCTTCTATCTAAGAATTCCCTTCTATTCTGTTTCTTTAGATAGCTTTTATTATACTTGCAGATGTCCCTACATTCCCGTCTTGCCCTTGTTGTCTACTTTTTGCTATAGGTAACCCCACCTTGACCCCCTGAACTCACAGCATAGGACACCCTGAGCATTTCAAAAGACCCCAAAATTTCAGCTCCCATTGAAAACCATTCAAAATATAGATGAGTTTCCAAATAGAAGGAAAATGACTCTTCCATGATATATGGAGAAAAACTCACAGTTTTGTGTGCGATCTATGACTTTAGACCATCCGATGTACCCCAAATCCCACACACCGAAGAGCTCCATTCCACTGCTACCTCCAAACGAGAGAGAGAAACCCCTTCCCAGCATTTTGGAGCCTTGAGCCAACATATCAATTCAGATGCAAATTTCCCCCAAACTCAGATCTATTTTTACGCAGGCTATGCTCTCTGCAGACCAACATGCAAATAGTGGGTGCTCAAGTGTAAGGAAGAATCACAGAGGGGACGAAAAGACACGGACCATACCTATCTTCGCAGCCTCCACTTTCAGGTTGAAATCCCAGTTCCTTGGCAATTTTAGGGACATTTTGCTTCTGGTTTGGAGGCGTAGCTGGTGAAATGGTGAGTCTGTCACAATTCGTGCCCTTCTTGCTTTTCGATCTTTCCCCCTAGCTTGTATCTGTCCTTTTCCTTCTTATGATTGCTTCGGCAGCAATCTGAGGTTTGAGGTTGATTTGCCAACGTGTCTCCTCCTTTCTCTCAGATGAAAGGTTGATCCATCTGTCACTTGGGGATGGCACCTGAACTCCCCCTAATCCCCACCCAGAGTCTCAAGGGGGCTCACGCCCTGCTTTTCTTGCTTTCAGTTTTACCAGAAAGATCCCAGTTGGCACTTCACTCTGCGTCATGGGAAGCAAAGCTCCCGTTGGAAAGAATCTCAGGCCTCACTGAGGCGAGGTTGTGATAAACAACTGCTGCCTCTCCGTTTAGCTTTTTTTTTTTTTTTAACTGTCTGCTTCCTTGCATTTGAGGAAGTGGGTGGCTGCTCAGTGCAGATGAGGCATTATGAGTTTTCTTTCTTGAGAAAACGGTTTTTGTAAATGCTTTCAAAACTAGGACGAGTGCTTTTGTGATATAAGGCTACAGTTTTGATTAAAAAGAAAAGAAAATGACAAGACTCCCATCATATACCTTGACTGTAAGCTCCCCTTCTCCTCACCTAATGGATCAAGTATTTAAAAACAATCTGGAAGACAACCAGCATTCCCTCAGTTACCTTCTTCTAAATTCTTTCTGCTGTAAGGACCACATAGTGAGTTCTTCTCCACCTGCTCAGGATAAAGGTTCCAAGTGATACCAGCCTGACTAGGGAGGGCGTTGATGCATTTAGCTAATAAGCCAACTTTAGCTGGATAAACCCACTCACACGTCATACGGTTCTTTGGCACTGTGTACAGGATGTGAACTTTAGAACCAGACCAGCAAAGGTTCAAAACTCAGTTCTCCCACTTCCTATCTCTGCAACTTTTTCACAAGCAACTGAATTTTTCTGGGCCTCAATGTCCTCACCAGTAAAATGAGGTTGATAATAACCACAACTGCACAGCATTGCTGTGAAGGAATCTAGTACTGAGCTTGACGCACAGTGGTTGCACCACAAACATTTTCAACCCTTTTCTACTTCATTAAGTTTCATGAAAGGCTTTCATATGTTTAACAGGGTTGGCCTAACCTAGAGATTAAGTATCTGGGCCCTAGAGCCAGACTGCCTGTGTTCTAATCCTGGCTCTACCAGTTTCTCGCTGTGTGACTTTGGATAAGTTTCATGACCACTCTGTGCTTCAATTTCCTCACCTGTAAGTGGGGCAAATAACAGCGCCTACTTCATAGGGTTGTTGTGAGGCTTTATTAGAAAGCAAGTACAAAGTACTCGGAACAGTTGCACCTAGCCAGCATGCAATGCAAGCTATCCATCCTTGGTTTATTCATTCTTCAACTCTCCTGGATGACTCTGTCACATGCTCACTTTCTGTTGATGACCCAGCTTCCTGTTTCATTGAGAAAACTGATGCAAGTGAAGAGAATATCTGCACGCTCCACCGCCATATCCGCCCACCTACCTGCATGGAAGCCCGTACACTCAGCCTTCTCCCTGCTACAATGGACAGACTGACTGTCATCACCCGCCTATCTCTACTGCGTTGTCAATTTCTTCTCTCTCCTGGATCTTTCCCATGAGCACTCAAACATTATTTTTTATCCTGTCTTTTAAAAAATCTCTTGATGCCACTTTCCCCTTTGGTTACAGCCCCATTTCTCTCCTTCATTGCTGAGCAAAGCTTTGGTAAGAATTGTCTACACTTGCAAATGTCTCTCCTCTTATTCTCTTCTGAATCCCCTCTTGATGGTTTTGACCCCATGATTCCACAAAATACAGACTTATCAAGGACACTGAAGATTTCTCTGTCTCTAAACCCACAGGTCAATTCTCCGTTGTCCTCTCACTGACCTGGCAGCTGCATTGGGCACATTGGGTCACTTTCTCCAACTCTAAGCCCTCTTTCCTTGTGGCTCCCAGGAACTGTGTCTGGCCTGGGTGTCTGCCTGCCTTTGTGGCTGCTCTGTCTCCAGTTCCTTGCTGATTCCTTTTCATCTCTCTGACCTGTACTTGTTAGAGGAAACCAAGGCAATCAGTGGACTTCTTTTTTATCCGTACTCACACCTTGGTGAGCTTAATTGTCTCAAGGCTATAAATGCCATGTACCTGTGGATGACTCCAATGTATATTTCCAAGCCAGACCACCCCCTGAACTCCAAATCACATACATTGCTGCTTAAATCTCTGGTAGTCCTCTCAAACTAAACATGTCCAAAACTTATGTTCAGGGGATCAGGCTGAAGGAGCAGAGGCGACCTGGGGCATATTGTCATTGGGAATAAAAGGAGCATAAGAAGAAAAACCATGCGCATATTTAAAATCTCTCCTGCTCAAATTTCATTGGCCAACACAGCTCACGTGACCAAGCCCAGTGTCACTGAGGCAGGAAGTCACACAGCCCTAAGAGGAAGGGAGAAGGGAGAAGGGCGGGAATGTCTGCTGATCTAGACTCCAGTCCATCATGCCAACCCAGTTTAGCCAGCTCCCCACCAGTGCCAGATTCCTGGAGCTTGACTCAGCCAACAGGAGACTTTGCAGTCCCCACCCTGTACTACTGCCTCCCCAACCCAGACACCACTACTCTTTTTTCTGTCCTGACTGTGGGGGCTAGCCATCCTGAGTCCCACCGAGCGGCATCTCCACAGGGAACTTGACACCATCCCTCCAAATTTTCAGTCCTGGGACTTTTAACTCAGAAATTCTGAAAATATTTTGAAGGTGGCATTTAGAATCACACAGAGAACTTCCTCTACCCTTTAGGGTAGGCTCCTGTGAAACTCGGAAAAACTCATGACCCATGGGGGAAGTTGGTCGAGCGTGCTTGGCAATCAGATGAGCAGCGCCCTGGAAAGGCCCAGCACACGGCCTGCCCTCTGCAGAGCCTGCTCTGGGTCAGTCCGTGGCCTGGGTGGGCGTAGAAGGCTGTTGACTGCTGCTCTGTTGCTCCCTCTCCCTGATCTTCATAAAATAAAGAATGACATATCTTGCCTGGTCCCAAAGTTTGAATCAGCATCTGCACTAGCAAAAACAAAAATTCACTTGTCTTTTTGCTTACTGAATGTTAACTATTTATTAAGGACTAAATATTTGCTGGAATGTTCATGAACAAGCAGACTTGGTTTCTGCACCAATCCCCATCCCACTTCCACCCCTGCCCCCATGCAGCTTACAGTCTATTGAGGGAGAAGAACAATTAAATACAATGAGAGAAGGGCTATTTGGGGGAAGTATAAGGAACCATGGGGGTTCATATGGGAGAAGCCTAACTGGGACTTGGGGAGTGAGAGAAAGCTTCCTGGAAGGAGTGATTTTTAAATTAAGTTTTGAGGAATGAATTGGGGGAAGCAAGAGGGTTGGAAAAATGGTTTTAGACCAAGCAAACAGCATGCAAGAAGTGAAGAGGACAGAAAGAACTCCTCAGGTTGCTCCTGAGAAGGCTGCAAAGTATCAGATGGAGGAGAGATGGAGCTTGGAGACACAGGCTGGGGCTGGATGGGCTGCATCCTGCAGGACCGGTAAGCCTTGGAGTTTGACTTCACTCTGGGGGAACAGGGGTCATTGAGGAGTTTTTAGCAGGATAGTGGTGAGGGGGCTGTGGCAGATGTCTAAGGGGGAGGGAGAAATGGGGAGAGAGGACAGCAGCAGTGGTCATGGAAAGAAGGGGAAATAACGCAAGAGCCATTTAAGTGGTGGAGTTGATAGCCCCAGAGGAAGCAGCACAGGAGAAAAAAGACACTCATGATCCTGACTCCAGTCACTGGAGGGGTAGGAGTTCCAGTCACAGAAATGGGGCATTCACGAAAAGCTGGAGGATTTATAATGGGGGAGGGGAGTTAAGGTACCCCAGGGAGAAGATGGTGGGCTCAGTTTGGGGCATGTTGCATTTAAGGTCTGTAGTGGATTGAATTATGTCCCCCCGAAACTCACTGAAGCTTGAATTATGTCCCCCAAGTTTTATGTATTGGAAACTTAGCCCCCACTGTGATTGTTAACAGGGTGAGAAATCCTATTATGGTAATTGAAAGGTGGAGCCTTGAAGAAGTGATTAGATTACAGGACCGCGCTGTAGTGAGTGGATTAAAAATGGTGGTCAGGGGCATGGTTCTGAGGGCTTTAAAAGAAGAGGAGAGTCTGTCTCTCTCTCTCGTTCCCTCTCTCTGTTCTCTCTGCTTCCACCATCTTGCAATGTGATACCCCTGGGTCACTGTTGCCACCATCAGATGGACTTTGGACTTAGCCTCAGAACCTGTAAGCAATAAATCTTGTTTTTCTTTATAAATCACCCAGCTCCAGGTATTTTGTTATAGACAACAGAAATGGACTAATACAGGGACCCAGGGAACACTTGAGGGCAGAGCTCCCACAAGTGTGTGAGCCTGGAGCTCAGACAGACTCGTTCATTCACTCACTCATTTACTCCACTTACTTATCCAGTACTGTGCTGCATGCTGAGTAAAGGAGCATGATTAAACACCTCGCCTAATCCTCAAGTGACTCAGAAGAGAGAAGAGTAAACATAACAGCAGTGCTGTGGGAGGGACAGGAGCAGTGCCTGCATCAGGTGGGGTGGCAGCAGGAAGCGAGCAGCTCTGCATGGGTGGCCAGGGTGACTTCCCAGGAAAGGTGACCCATGAGAGAGCAGTCATGAGAGGAGGACGTTCCAGGCCAATGAGCCAGCAGATCTCTGTTAAAACATGGCACCCGTTTAGGTGAGTGCCATTTGAGGAATGGTGTATGGCTGGAGGGGAGGCGGACAGCGGTCATAGGGCTCTGGGGCCAGTGTCTGACAAACTAGCTGAGGGGTTGGACGCTACCCTGAGGTGACAGTCATCGAAGAACTTTTTAAACATTCCTTTCATTGTGACTTTTACCATGGCAGAAGTCCATGTGTGATCTTTGTAGAAGTTTTAAATAAGCATAAAGGAAATAAAAATCACTGTTACCATTTAGTACATAATAAGAATTTTCTCCGTGTTTAGTTTCCTATCTCTCTCTTGCTCTTTCTACTTATGTGTGTATTTATATATGTATTTTAAAAATTTTTAAATAGTGTATGTGCTGTTTTATAAGCTGTTATCCTCTCTTGACAAAAGAAAACATGAATAGTTATTTGTCATTTAGCATTTTTCCAAAATACCATTAAAGGCCTCATAGTTTTTAATTATTTGGTGGGAGCAAAATTTACTCAACAAATCACTGCATCATTGAACATTTGAGATGTGTATAAAATTTTGTAATATTCTTGTATGTAAATATTTGGATAAATCCATTCTCTCCCTATCCCCCTCTCTGGGAGGACTTCTTAGACATATAAATGCTGAGAAAGTGGA